CGGCAAAGGCTAGCCAAAAGGCTTATCAAGCTTTTGAAAAAGCTTTGGCAATAATTTCGCAACAATTTTCTGTAAGCCTAGAGTCTTTTGCAATAAATATTTCACTCTCACAGTGTTTGTTACATTATTCAAACAATTGGAACGAGCGTGATATCGAACAGCTCTTCTTTCACAAAGCTTTATTGATAAAGTTCCGGGCTAAGCCATTCTTCAGATCAAATGAAATACCACAGCACAATTACAACACATGAAAACATTGGAAAAACAGGTGTATCCTACCAATGTCGTCCAATGGACCGGGAGGAGGACGAGGGTTTTAAGGAAGAAAATGGGATGGAATGCTACGTGGGCTTTTTTCTATATCCATTTTTGTCTATTGCTAGTAATTAATTAGTTAGATATTATCCAATTAGAAGGTCAGGACTGCCAATCATCCTGATCTTCCGACCACCATCTTCACTGCGACGCCTTCTAACATCATCGCGTCCATACGAAAACCGGTGCGAAAGAGCAAATCATACAATGTGTGGGATTAAAAGGAGAAGGTGTGCCAGATGAGGTGTGTTGTGTATAAGTAGAGTGTCCGGTTGCGGAGATTTTACATTGGAGAAACGGGAAGACCACTCTACAAGAGAATGGACGAGCACATAAGAGCCCTGCGTAGTCCTCAAAACTACCCAGAGAGTCCATTCTCAAAACACCGCACACTTCGACACGCACAAGAAATGCCCCCAGAACTTCGTCGAGCGAGAGTAACAATAAGGAGGCAAATTGGAAAGGCCGATAAGCTATTGGCCGATGTCAGACTCTGCGATTGGAGCGATCGGTCAAATGCCAATCGCGCGACCATCGCGCGATTCGCGCGACGATCGCGCGATTGACATGAGTCCCATCATGACCAATCGCTCCAATCGCGCGATGGGCGCGATCACTCCCGTTGTGGCAGGGCGCCCCACTCGATCGATACCTCAGTCAACGTATCGATCGAGAGGGGGCGCGCCCTGCCACAACGGGAGTGATCGCGCCCATCGCGCGATTGGAGCGATTGGTCATGATGGGACTCATGTCAATCGCGCGATCGTCGCGCGAATCGCGCGATGGTCGCGCGATTGGCATTTGACCGATCGCTCCAATCGCAGAGTCTGACATCGGCCATTGAGATATAAGACAGTGCTGCGTGCGGAGGGAATGTCATCGTGACTATAAGAAGATCAATCGCTTTCCCCAGCACATAAAAAAGCCCACGTAACATTCCATCCCATTTTCTTTCCTTCAAACCCTCGTCCTCCTCCCGATCCATTCCTCTATTAGACGACATTGATAGGATACACCTGTTTATTCTTATGTTTTTATATGTTGTAATTGTGCAATAGTATTGCAGTCGATCTGAGGGTTTAGGCCCGAAACGTTATCAATAAAGCTATGTGAAAGAAGAGCTTCCGAATCACACTCGTTCCAATTTGAAATATGAAGGTCAGGGAATCAACAATATTACCTTATTAGAACAATATTTATTTTCTATTGTGAGGAGCAAACTTAAGTCTCGTAGACATTTCTTCCAAGCAAGAGCGAGCTCTTGATATTAGATAGCATCCTTTTTAGCTTCCGATCTCCCACTTTGTAGCAAAGGTTCTTCACCGCGCCGCATTCATAGCCTTTGGGGCAATCAGAGCATGGTGGCCCCTCTTCATAGAGAGGATCACCAACAGTGACATGTCTAAAAAGGATCGTTCTCAACTGGCTATCAACCATCCGACATCAATAACTCACGGCTCCCCATAGTAGCAGAACACAGCAAAATAGCTATTTTGACAAAACTTCACTGCACAGCCAATAGTTTCAGTTTTTGCTTTGGCCATCTGGAATCACAGATATATTGGGTAGTCAACAAAGGTCAGGGTATGTGATGCTTCACTCTGCATAATCCACTTAAAACGAACCACTTTGCAGTCCGACTATGTGAAGCATATTAATGTGATGTTGATTTGAACACGACTTGAGTGCGTTTCTTTTTCTAAATTTTTGCAACACGTCTGGATACTAATTAACAGGACAGCTTGCCGCAGTTCCCGCCATACTACCTCGATTTTCTGCCCCCAGCAGCAGACATGCTTGCAACGGTAATCACTTATCTTTCTTGGAAGATATTTAATAGTTAGGTATTCAAAACTTGATTTCAGACCTATAACTGCACACTTGAAAACGAAGCTCTTCAACGAGACCTGTGCAAGAGACTCCCACCTAGGATGACGTTCAGTCTGACAGGGCAGAATTATGATTACATCACAGCCACTCGATACATCACGAATGCAAGACATGCGATGATACTGTGAGATCGAAGCATTTTCAGCATGTCTTTAAATAGCTTGAGTAATGGCTACTTTCATGGCGGGGGACAATTGGTGGTATCGATACTTCTATAGTGCTGGAATGGAAGGAATCACACCTCGTCAACAGGACTTCCCAATAATTTCGTTTTTTGCGGTACGTTTTCGAAATTTCACTCTCTCGTACTATTATACATATGACGTGGCCACTGTTTTCAAACTGTTTCCAAAAAAGTTTCACTGCAATTTCAAGTGAACGTGAACATAAACTGCCCTAAGAAAAAAAGGATCACATTTAAAGACAAGGTCGTGATCCGCATTCTGACTGAGATGGAAAAGTGGCATGTTCGGGCGAGTTCCACGAACGGCTACATCCAGTTGCTCCAATGCCAGTGACGTTGAGAATAATGCAACCGCTGTCGTAACTGTGACCGCGCCCTTCTCGCAGCACCGGCATGGTAGCCGACGGATGAATTTGGGACTTGCGGAGGTGTGGGTTGCAAAATAAGCAAACGTCTAGCGCCTCTGTTGCCCACTCGAGCCGCAAAGGTTCACGACGTCAACACTTGCCCGTCGGAGATGCAGCAGGTGAATGTGCTTAATCTTTGCTCGTGCCTTCAAGAATCAACGCCAAACTAATGCTGTTGCCTGTGATTTTGACGACTGAATCATTCTACTTGGACTACTCAATTTATTTCAAAATGCAACATGAGAAGGTACCGCATGTCGAATTGCCATTTGTAATAGGACACGATGGATAGTAGATGTGATTTTGAACGTTGGTCTTGAATCTAATTTTCAATCCAATGAAGGGTGCCCTGAACTTAAAGCAAATCCAAGAAAAAATTCGCGGGCAAAAACCACCGATAATGAAGTTGTAGGTGCAAAAGTTGACCATAATGAAAGAAAAAGTAAAAAACGTCGAACAGGGACTTAGACAGGGACTCCCCCTCTGCCACTTAGCAATGGAGGAAGACGCGCGTTGGACGAGTTGTCTGAACATGCCCGCAGTAAATGCGCCCCAATTGCAGTTGCTGGCAAATAGCCAGAAATTGCAGTTGGGACGATTGCGATTGCGTTGTGCAGTGCAACTGCCTTCTCCGCGGGGAAAAAGTGCGTCCGTCTGTAAAAAAGTCAAAAGAAACTGCAGCACCACATCGATTGCTTTGAAGGACCGAGTGAAATACTCCCTGTGGTCCCAAAACGATCACGAATGCCTCCGCAGCCAATCACGGCTGGCAAGTGGGCGTTCCCGAAAAATTTCCAACCACACCCATTTTTGAGGAGTTTTACGCCCTTTTTGCGGCTTTCCGAGGTGAGTTTTGTAATACACTTCATATGTTCTCCACTAGGGCTAGTGTATCCTTCAATCCCAATAGTAATGAAGGCAACAGACCCTGCTTGGACTGTTGCTTTGATAATGAAGCGCAGCTGGCCAATAGAGTGTTTTGCTCACAGGGGGAGGTCAATGTAAACAGCCCAAGGAGCATGACAGAGGCCTCCTGCTGACGTTACGCGCTTGTTATTCATTACACCACGGGATGTCACGCTCTGGACGGGCGCCTGACGCGCCAAGCCTGTCCTGTTAATTAGTATTTAGACGTGTTGCAAAAATTTAGAAAAAGAAACGCACTCAAGTCGTGTTCAAACCAACATCACATTAATATGCTTCACAAAGTCGGACTGCAAAGTGGCTCGTTTTAAGTGGATTATGCAGAGTGAAACATCACATTTACCCTTGAGCTGAGTTGACTACCCAATATATCTGTGATTCCAGATGGCCAAAGCAAAAACTGAAACTATTGGCTGTGCAGTGAAGTTCTGTCAAAATAGCTATTTTGCTGTATTCTGCTACTATGGGGAGCCGTGAGTTATTGATGTCGGGTGGTCGATAACCAGTTGAGAACGATCCTTTTCAGACATGTCACTGTTGGTGACCCTCTCTATGAAGAGGGGCCACCATGCTCTGATTGCCCCAAAGGCTATGAATGCGGCGCGGTGAAGAACCTTTGCTACAAAGTGGGAGATCGGAAACTACAAAAGGATGCTATCTAATATCAGAGACTGAGCTCGCTCTTCTCAAAGAAGAAATGCTACGAGACTTAAGGCTTGCTCGTGCACAATAGAAAATAAATATTGTTCTAATAAGGTAATATTGTTGATTCCCTGACCTTCATATTTCAAATTGGAACGAGTGTGATTCGGAAGCTCTTCTTTCACATAGCTTTATTGATAACGTTTCGGGCCTAAACCCTCAGATCAACTGAAATGACCTATAGGCACAATTTACCAAGCACATGAAAACATCAGAATAACAGTATCCTAACAAGTTGTGGGCCTAGTAGGAATCGACCGGGGGAGGACGAGGTTTGCAGAAGATCAAATGGGATGGAATCGCTAAGTGCTTTTATGTCCTGCGGACACAGCGATTAATCTTCATTATAGTCCGCCCTGACTTCCTCTCCGCAACGCACGACACTCGTCTTGCTATCTTATACACGCCTCCATCGCCCTCTTTCATTCCCTCCATTCAATTGTTACTCTCGCTCGACGAAGTTCTGGGGGCATTTCTTTTGCGTGTCGGTGTGTGGTGCTTTGAGAATGGACTCCCTGCGTAGTTTTGAAGGACTACGTAGGGCTCTTGTATGCTCGTCCATTCTTTAGCATCCCTTCCATTTTCTTGCATCAACCCCTCGTCCTCCTCCCAGTCCTTTCCTCTAGGACGACATTGGTAGGATACACCTTGTTATTCCAATGTTTTTCATGTGTTGTAATTGTGCTATGGTATTTCAGTTGATCTGAAGAAGGGCTTAGGCCCGAAACGTTATCAATAAAGCTTTGTGAAAGAAGAGCTTCCGAATCACGCTCGTTCCAATTGTTTAAATAATGTAACAAACAGTGTGAGACTGAAATATTTATTGCAAAAGACTCTAGGCTTACAGAAATTTGTTGCGAAATTATTGCCAAAGCTTTTTCAAAAGCTTGATAAGCCTTTTGGCGAGCCTTTGCCGCCCAGCGAATTTGACAAGCCTGGAATAGATATCGAAGTATTAGGTTGGCAAGATTGAAATGTCGCTTCCGTTTGTGCCTTTGTTTCTCAGCTTAAACACAATCTCTTAGGATGGGAGACCATTCATTCGAGAGAGCGATTCAGCGCGCATATTGCGAAATCTTAGGCGCCACTGAGCGGATGTTCTTCGAGCCAAAACTTTTGCTCGAAGATGACTGATCAGAAATCATCGTCTGAGCGTATATATTCAAGCAAGGAAAAACGGCCAACGAATCCCACTCATTGTGTGCAAAACATTGAGCAGTAACACTTAGTCTCTGATGCACTTTCAGCTATGGTTTCAGCTCTTCCAAGACTGAGGTAAAGGACCTGAGGACGAAGATCGTGGATTTTGACCTCTAGCTCTAGATGACGGAGAAATAAAGAAAGCCAACGAATTGAGTCCTCGACAAACCGCACAAAACTTGCATGGAGATTCAGTTGTGTCAACAGAAAAATTTAAAAGTTCCTACGTGCGACTGTTAAGGCCTTTCAGGATAGAAAATGGGTTCGGCCTATTCTGAGCGACGCGAGCAAGCAGTACTGGTTGCCAATACTGGAACTTCGCTCCATAACTTCAAGAGGAAAAAGGTTCTTGACAT